ACTATTCATCCCCCTTCTCTCCCCCCCCACCATGCATTGAGAAAGGATGGGAATGACAAAAGAAAAATGTGAAAAGGGGGGAGAAAAAGAAAACACAGACGCTTTTGGTTGCTGAACCCTGAAAATAGACTCCCCCCCCCAAGTTTTCCATCAAAAACCCCAAATGAAGTATTTTCAGACTTTTTTGTTTGTTTATGTCAAAAAAAGAGTATTGCTGAAAAGTTTTTGAGCAGCAACACTGAAATCCAAACGACTCCTGGGTCTAGAGACCAGTTCTTTGCACAGTCCAATTCCCCCCTGCCAGGGCTCCTCAAACCTTCCCCACTTTAGGAAACGGACCTGTTTCTGACCACACTCATCGGCAGTTAGCTTTGCTGAACCACGCTGAATGGAGACAAATAAAAACCAGAGCAAACGTGCTGAGCACTGATTAAGCCACTGTCAATATTGGTTCACCTTTTAGAACAATTGCTGACGTCCAGGAGCTAACAGGGGGTCTTAAGCCTTGTTTGCCACTAGGGCTGGTGTTGGCTAGTCTAAGACCAAGTGCTAATCATCTTAGCCCCCAAATAAAGCATCCAATGTCACGTATTGCTGCATGTCTCTTACCTGCCGGAGCTTTGTTCCCACCATGGATGCGCTGCTGTCAAGTACAAACACGACGTTCTTCGGCAGCGGCGGGAGATCCCAGGGGGCAAAGTAATGCACGAAATACCCGTTCAAAATCTGGGGAAGAACCCGAGAGTCAGGACCACAATCCTACCTACTACGCTCAGCATCACCATGCTGCACTGGTAAGCAATGCTCCTGGTGAAGTCAACAGACATGGCACCATGGACCGTCACTGGAAAAGGATTGGCTCTTAATTCTGGGACAGTCTCTTTCATGCACGCCATATTCGAAACGACCGGACCCAGTACTAGACAAGTCCATGTAGAGACACAGTGAACAACAGGAAAGGGAGGAAAGCAATAAGCAGCCCTGGGTAAATGGGAAGGGGACATATTCGAGTGAGACTGGAAATATTCTCGGGGAGTGAGGCTTGGAAGTCAGTGCTGCGGTGGGAGAACTGCTGTTCCAGACGTCTCCGGGGATGCAGAAAGGAGAAGCAGGCTGAGAGGAAGCAGAGAACGGTCCAGGGAGAGTCCCTTTCTATGAGGGACAAAGTCATAGTTGTTTTCGTGCAGATAGCCCGCAGCCTGGATTCAGCCCTTGGAGTTGCTCCATCAGGCGCACTGGACTGCCAGCATGGCCCAGGGGAAGAGCCCACCTCCGAATGGTGATCCGCGGCAGGGAGGATCGACCATCCCAGTTGCACTCCAGCCGCTTCACAGTTCACCATTACCATGGCCCTTCCTCCCTGGCTGCTAGCTGCCAGCCCCTGGTCTCTGCCATGTGCCCATTGCTGGCACAGGACAGTTGGCAGGGGCTGGAGCTGCCACCTCATGTCCCAGTCTGGAGCCACACTGCTGCTACACCAGTTTCCTCACGCCCTGGTGTGGAGCCAGCTGTCAAGGAGCCCCGCAGTCCGGATCCAGGCCACAAGGTGAGTTTGGCCCCCTTGGTTAGGCGATAAAGATGCAAACCTTCAAATGGGGTCCTGAATGAATGGTAATGACTGGGGGCAGGTGTTATCACGTGTCACTGGTGAGAAGATGAGCGGTGGCAGCAGCCTGCACATGCTCATCTCTACAGACCAGAGACTTGGGGAGCCAGAAAGGAGAAGGAGGAGGAAGCCTTGGGCATGAATTTCAAGCAGAGGCGGAAGCACAGCCGTGAGTCTGCATCATGCTAAACAGCACAAAAGCACTTCTTTTAAAATCACGCACGCTTATGCGTGTGACCACAATGAAGCGGGAAGTTGCTCCTTTGGCAGAGGAATTGTGCATAGGTCTTGTGGCCCCTTGAGTCCCATTGAAATGATCAGGATTCAAGTGTGTCTTCAAGCAGGGGTGAATTGCAGCTGGTAGGACAGGCCGGTGCAGCTAAAAAGGCGGTTTTTTGCTCTTTGTTCGCCTGTTTATAGAGTTACCAAGGCACGTTACCCGTTGTTCAGTAAAGGGCAAAATCTGTCATTTTCTAATGGCTTCAATCAAACTTTTGTTCAAAACTGCTGAGTGCATGGGAAGAGTGACTGCTTCTACTATTTTCTTACCTATAATTTCTCCATTGCCGCCTCTTCTGCAAATTGTTAAAAGACAAGGTGCATGTGTGGGATCTGAGTCCTAACTATTTTTATGTAGGATTTAGCTAGTTCCCCATAGGAAACTATTTTTAATGCAACAATAGCTTTCATGGAGCCACAAGAGGTCCTATGTGTCATTTCTTCATAGCACTGGCACATGAAAAACGTATTCTATCACCAGAGCAGCCAACAAGAAGTCTGCAAAGTTGTATAATGACTGCCCTCATCTTGAATATAGAGGTGTGGTCATACCAGACTAAAACTCCCAGCATGTAACATGCAATTGTGACTTGTATCTCAATATAAAGTGGTATTTTTCATTTAAGGAGCAGATGCCTCCATGCACGTTATTCTGATTAATAGGTGGCTATATTGCCGGTTCTAATGACTGAATCACTAAGCCTTGCAATATTAAAGGTATGTCCATGCTTGCCTTTGACCATGCAAAGGAGCACCACCGTGAAAACACACCTCATCCACTTGCTCCTGCTTTTCATGCTCCAAAGAGTGAACAAAAATGCTGTTGTTTGAAATGTGCCCAACGTTGCATCGCTTGGCTTTGGCAGGCGCAGAGCAGGAGTGGGGGGACAAGGTATGTTTTCATGGCAACATTCCCTAGCCTGGCTAGAGACGCAGTAGATATACTCTGATTACCCTTGCTGTAGGGAAGCAGATCACATCAGCATCTCAGTTTTCATTTCTTTTTCAAGAGCAGGTTTTGAGCTCTGATTGGCATTGAGGAAAGCTTGAAGCTCTGAAGCAAACAGGCACTAAAAGTTAGAAACCAGCAGGCAAAAAAACCCAAAGAATCCAAATTATGTTATAGAAATACCATCTGGAAATGTTTAAGCAACTCTTGTTCTTTGGGGGTTGATTGATGTCTTTTGGGGTGGAGGTTGGTCACATGACATTGGCTGCAAGAGGCTATCTTATATTAGGGGTGGCTGTTCACTTCTTCATGCAACAGTGGCCCTTACTGGGGGCAAATTTTCTAAGAAATACAGGTTGCCTCTGGCGTAGCCAGTAGTGTAAAAAAGACCAGGTATGCATACTGTACCTGAACGTCCCCGATACTCAGCTCCCTGTTGACATCATATCTAATGATAAAATCCCCCAAAATGCCATTCCGGGCAATCTTGGCTTGTTGTACAACATTAGGTGTGAAGGTCACTTTAGCTAAAGTTTTTGTCTGTCCCACAACGGTAGAAGGAGGTGGAGAGCTGTCCTCTGGAGGGAAAGCAAGCAAAAACATTACAACATTTCTATTTATTTCTTACACATTCCCCACATTGCAGTACAGCACTTAGAGCAGGGGCGGGCAGTTATTTTGGGCGGAGGGCCACTTACTGAGTTTTGGCAAGCCATGGAGGGCCACATGACAGGCAGCCAGGGGCAGATAAATATTAATTTTCTAAGTTTTTAGGGCCCCGTGGGCTGGATAAAATGGCCTAGCAGGCCACATCTGGCCCCCAGGCTGCATTTTGCCCACCCCCCGACATAGAGCATTATGAGATGGCATGAAGGCACTGTGA